CAAACACACACACAAACAAACACACAAACAAACACACACACACACACCAAACACACACACACACACAAACACACAAACACACACACACACACAAACACACAAACACACACACACAGACACAGACACACAGGCTTACAGCCACACAGGCACACAGTCGCACAAGCACACATACAGACCCAAAGTCACACCCAACACCCAGAGAACCACACCGCCACCCGCACACGCACCAGTACCGGCGCACACCCACATACACATGCATACGAACATGCAGAAGGCGCACACATGTGGGAGAGTAACAGTGACAGAAGGAGATAGAAAGAGCCAACCTCATGGATTTTGCAGACCGTCTGTTCGCGAATCCAGAAGCTACGTCCAGAGGAAGAACACGAAGGGGGCTTTTTCGAAAAAGAACGAGCAACAGCTGTATTTTTCTGTGAAGTCGCACGGAGGTGTCTGGGTGGTTGGCGTTGCCGTGCTGTCGGAGCGGGCCGACGAGCAACGAAAGGCAAGTTGAAGATGTCAGTTGCCATCGCATGATCCTAACAACGTGATGACCCATTCCTGGTGTTGCATAGTGTTGGACTGTGTGATGGTCTTCAGAGCATTGCTCGGTCTTTTTCATTTGTCGGTGATCAGATCCAGGCCATGGCCTTTGGCCGGCACGGGACATTCGGGAGTTGACCGGCTTGTTGAGCGCTTTGATGCGGACCCGATAGATCCTGACAGAGCTGCTCAAAGACAGCAGCAAAAAGCATAGCAAACGGCGTTGGGTGCTATCAATGACTTACGGAATACTACGGCCTTTCGCAGGTTGCGGTTTGCATGCATTCCGCCAGATAATGCAGGTGTCCCAGTGTCACTTGTCATGGGATCACCCAGTGAGGCTTGGCGAAGTCAAGCTTCTAGCGACGAATGACTTCGAAGGAAAACATGCCTAAGTGATCCCACTTTGCAGATCCGTTGCGCAGTCCCATTGTCTGTGAGAACATTGAGAACATACTTGTAAGGCATGTTGGTGAGGGGGGTCCTTTGCACTGAAACGTGCAAGCTACTTACTAATCACGCATTTTACTTCTTCGCGCTTTCCATGCTTTCATCGATGTCTTTCCACGTTCTCCTTCAGGACTTCAGGAACGGGTGTGCGCTTCCTTCTGTAGTTGAAGCTTGTGTGCTCGCCAGCTCCGCCGCATGACACAAGATGTGCGAAGAACCGTGCGTCAGACGCTTCATGCCAAACAAGCCTTCCTCAGCACTTTTTGGGCGAAGCACTGTTGTGCGTTATTGCCAGCAAATTGGCTGCCTCCGCTAGCAACTCCATGTCATCTGCGTGCGGCGGCCGTTTGGCTATGTCGGTCAGAGCGGCCCGGGTCGCCTCATCGCCAAAAGCGAGCTCGGCGGCGGTCAGGACTTGGCAAACGTTAAAGCTCGCCTCTGCGTGCGACGGCTTCTCGTCGTCGCTCGGCGACTGCTTCCGCATCGAGGTCGGTGACTGGCCTGGGCGAGGTTCTTGTAGTGGCGCAGCTGCAAGAAGCGTGGGCCAGAGCCTTTGTTCGTTGATGTTGGAGTCGCATCAGAAGTATGCGGCGCCCATCACCACCCGATACCAGCCGGCCCAGCCGGCCGCGTGAGGAGCATGCGGGGTGTAAGCAGGAACAGCTTCCACGCGCGCGCTCGGGCGCGGTCATCAAGCGGTCCGCTGTAGGCAACCCGGAGGTGTTGGAGGCTGCTGGCGAGCGCTCGGTCGCACGAAAACGGGCACCGTTTTGCAGCGTCGGCACGGGATGGCGGAGCTCGTCAAGTAGGTCGACGTCGTCTAGCGCGTCCAGTGTGAGAGGCCTCGGATTGCACCGTGAGGGGGACGGAGCGGGGCTCCCAGTGAGTGCGCTACAACGATCTCCACGCGAAGACGACGACGACGACGACGACTACTACTACTACTACTTCTACTTCTACTTCTACTTCTACTTCTACTTCTACTTCTACTTCAACAACAACAACTACTACTACTACTACTACTACCATAGGTAGTATTATTCGGGGTACCCCTACAGGGTACCTCTTCTGAACCCTACTTTTGGCTCCCGTAAAAGGGACCTTATTGAGAGGGTCTATATCCCTAAGGGTCCCCCTAATCCTAGCTCCCACTACTACTACTACTACTACTACTACTACTACTACTACTACTATTACTATTACTACGACTACTACGACGACGACGACTACTACTACCACTACTACTGCGACGACGACGACTACGA